ATATATATATATATATCTATACATACTATTACTATACGATACTATACTTTGCCATACTCTACTCTACTCTACTATAATCTACTAGAGCAGCATCATGACCCCTAAACATGCTATGCTATACTATACTAAATATAACATACTACAATCTACTGCATTATACTGTCGACCCCTAAAGATGCTATGCTATACTATACTAGATATAAAAAAACTATAATTTAATGTATTATACTGTTGACCCCTAAACATGCCCAAAACCCTAAACCCTAAACCCCAAAACCCTAAACCCTAAACCCTAAACCCCTAACCCCTAAACCCTAAACCCTAAACCCCTAACCCCTAAACCCTAAACCCTAAACCCCTAACGGCCTCCTGCTCAAGGACATGGAGCTGGTGAACAAACTCCCCGGCTTCATCGGCACACCTGGGGTGTCGGAGAGCGAAGAGCACAGGGTTTCAGGTTTCGCCTGGGAGTGGGAGTTTAGGGTTTGGGGTTTGGGGTTTAGGGTTTAGGGTTTAGGGTTTAGGGATTGGGATTTTGGGATAAACCCTAAACCCTTAAACCCTAAACCCAAACTCAGGATAAGCTTAGGGCCTTGCCAAGGACATGCGGCGCCGGGGCTTCCGGATGCAAGAAGTGCAGATGGGTGTCCACCCTATGCATGCCTGGACATCTCTTCGCAACGATGAGACATGCCGACAAGGACTTCGATGACATTGATACTGAGATTCGCCAGCAAAGATTGCATGCCGAAACTGACCCGAAAGCTTGACCAACATGAAAGAACAGGCACTCCATCTTTGGATTAAGCAAAGCCAAGATGAGCACTAAACCTTTCAACCCCATATCCAGCAAACTGCTTTGTACTGTACGAAATGACCCAACTTAAATCGCTTTGTCAAAACCGTATAGGATTCTTGAAGCTCCTATAAACTTAGACCCTACATCCCCAAACCCAAACCTCCAAACGCAGACCCCTTATAAGGATCTCGCTACCCAGAACCCCCGAACTCCTGGTGGCAAGCACAAAAGCCCTAAACCCCAAACCAGGGCTCAGGCCCTAAAGAAACATCCTGCGCATGGGTGGCTGCCAGTCTCCCTCTCCTGGCAGAAGCTGGCATACTTGGCTCAGGTGTGGTCTTTCGCACCCATGGATCTATGGGGATACGGCTGGCGGTTTAGGGTCTTTTTCTTTCGGGGCGGAGGGCTTCAGAGGTTTATGGTAGATCAACATCCAGAACCATAGCTCTCTGTGTCTGTGCGTGTGTGCGCGTGCGCATGTGTGTGTGTGTGTGGGGTGGGTGGGGGGAACAAAGATACGCTGATGTTGCAGGTCTCGGTGCCTTTGGGGCTGAGACTGCTGAGCTGCAGACGACGTGCCGAGAGAATGTCGACTTTTTTGAATCAGGTGTTGAGGCCTTCAATTACCCTTCTTAGGAACGTGATAGGAGCTGAGTTTGTTGTTGCTCAGGGCGATGGCTTTATGGGATTCTTTTCCAGAAGATCTAAAAAGTCTACAGGTTTGATTCATGGGGCTTCAGACGCCGCCTCAAGCGGGTAGCAACTAAATCCTTTAGAGCCCTAAAGAGCAATCAGCCATCCCAAGTCCGAAGCTTTCGAGTGAAAAGCTCTAAGCTCCCCAAACCCTCAACTCTGAACCAACGAGCTTTAAGGACGGACCCGAAGAAAGGACATTTTGGGACATTTTGAAGGCCATGAGCCTTCCTCTCCAGCTTGTGGGATCCGGTTTGCCGAATGTTGAAATGCTCGCGCCTACAGGGGTTCGGGCTTAGGAGGGCACCAGGGTTTGACAGCAAGCTCTGCCGAGTTCGTCCGGTATAGCCTCTTGAACATGCCACTTACATGCACAGATACATACAAAAAACTGTGTGAACAAAACCATCACCGCCGCAATGGAGACCACGATAACCGTCGCACCCCCAGCACCATCATGACATCATCATCAACATGCCCGTCGTCGCCACTGTTGCCCCGTAATATGAACATGGGTCACCTGAACTGTTCCCAGCGCCTGCTGACACTCCAAAACCTACAGCTGATGAAGCCCCTAAGCTCAAATGCCCTGACTTTGAAACAAGCCGTAATCCCGACCCGGAACTTCAGACCATCCGCCTTTGAAGAATTTCTTTAGCACGAGCTTCTTGCCTGGATCTCTCCGCCAGTTTCACTGTAAGCACAACAAGAGAATGAGACGTTCGAAGACCCTGGGCACAGCTTACATACAGCACTATTCACTAACGGATTTCGTTTGGTTTCGGGGGTCCTTTCCCTAAGCTTCGGCACCTTAAACCCTCAACCCTAAGCCCTAAACCCTAACTAGGGATTTGGAAGGTTTTAATTTGAGATTTGAGCTCCGGGCCTAGAAACCCAGATGGCAGCTGGCTGCAAGGTACCGGCGTGGAAGGCTTTTGAGGGTTTGGGACTTTGGAGTTCTTCGGGTTTCCGTAATGCTTACCCATAGGCCCCATAGTAGTTCCTTTTTGGGGATTACCTTATAGGATTCTAAATATGAACCCCGAAAAGGAACTACCATGGGGCCTATCGGTAGAGCCTTATAAACCTGAGGCATGCGATCAGGATTTAGCTGGATTTCTCGGTGTTCAGGGGCCTGAGGCGGACGACCGATGGGAGGAGTGCCGGAGAAAGAGCGCCAAATACAGCCTTGCGTGTAGTCCGAGACAGGTTCGAATCGTAGCGATGCCATCAAGCTACAGTAATATAGGGGACTTAAGAATCAAAATTGGGCTTTGGGGCCCACTATACTATAATAATAAAAAAAATAATAATAATAATAAAAATAAATGATAGTAATAAGGAACGCCCCCCAAAATAGTAATGGTAATTATAAGCCCCTACATTACACCCTAAACTGAAGCTTCAACCGGAGTCCCCAGGCTTGGACCAGAGCCAAAAGCCTGGGTCTTTGGACTGACTACCTGGGGGAAGTAGGACGGGTTTAGGGTTTACGGTTTAGGGTTTAGTGTTTAGGGTTAGGGCTCGGCATGAAGGGATGGTTTTCGCCAAAACCTGCTCAAACCTGAAACCCCATGCCATGTAAACCTAAGCCCGGAAATAGAACTTTGAGCCTGAAATATTAAACCCTGAAGCCCTAAAACCCTATATAGATAACCATATAAAGCCGTAAACCCTCCATAACCCTAGATTGCCCTATACAACCTGATAGAACGATATAAAGAACATGCAACCCTAGTAAGCCCCGAAACTCCGAAACTCCAGAGACTTCCGAGGTGCCGGAAGTCCTCGCAGGTGCGCCACTGCGCCTTCCGCGTCTCCTCGCGGCTTCTCAAAGTTTAGGGGTCGGGTTTGGGGTGGTGTTTCATAGAACACTTCGGGCTTACGGTTTAGGGTTCTGGGTTCAGGGGCACTGATGTCTCCCAACCCACCCACCCAGTTTATGAATTTTGGTCGGGTTTAGGTTTAGGGTTTTTCCTACCCCCCCAAACCCCTACTTGGTTTGGTTTCCTCTCACGTGGAACCCTGGCGGCTGACAAGCGCAGCGCCCGCGGCTCGCTTAAGTTTAGGGTCGAGGGGCTACGGTTTAGGTTATAGGGTTTAGGGTTTCGGGGCTTATGGTTTAATTAGGGTATATAAGGCTCTGGGTTTAAAGCCGTGTTCGTGGGAAGTGAGGTGTTGTTCGTTGGGAAGCGAGGTCTTGTGTGTGGGGGGGTGGGTGGGGGTGGGGGGTGTGGAGGGATGGAAAAGCAGCACAAAGCTGCTTCATGATGCTTCTTTTTAGGCAGCCGGATGCCCATGATGCTGATGCTCATCCTTCTGGTCAGGTTTGATCATGTATGTGTATATGTGTGTATGCGTGCATGCATGTGCGCATGTATATACTATATGTATGCTGTAGGCGCCAGGCGGAGGGAAAGAGAGAGAGAGAGAGGGAGCATCGGGCCGCAGCCAGTGCCTTGCAAACCTTAGATCCTAAACCTTGAAACCCACAATCCCCTGTCAGTCATCGCTATTCTAAGGTCTCAGAGCTTGCAAGGCTTGCATACCCAGATTGGGTTTAGGTTCCTACTATACAGGTTGGATGGCCCTACACCCCTAAATTAGCGTGCAGGGGTTTAGGGTGTAGGGGCTTACGGTTCAGGGTATAAGGTTTAGGAGGGGCTTAGGGTTTAGGGGCTTCCGGTTTAGGGTATAGGTTTCTGGGTTTAGGGTTTAGGGGTTTAGGGTTTGGGATAGGGTTTAAGGGTTTATACACCACTTAGGGTCCCTTGTTCCCTGAGACTCACCGTCTACTATCTGGTAACTGGTAGTCGCTGCTGCGCCGACGACGACGACTACTACAACTAAGGTTATGCTATCAACCGCATGAAATACTCATGAGAACAAGAATAAACATAACAGTCTCAGTAACAGCAGTGACAGTACTACTTAGTTTTATAAGTAGACTCAGAACAATAACAATAATAACAGCAATAATGGTACTAGTAACAATAACATTAACAATCATATACTAAGAATAATAAGAGTATTAATCACAACGAAATGCAGTCGGCACGCCGAGTCTGTTTCACTGCACCTTGAGCCCTCCAAACTAAACTAGTAATACCGCCAAAACCACAGCCAGAGGATTTGAGGGGTGATTCACGTAGTTCATATGAGTTCATTTAGCCGGTAGGCAATAACTCCCGAACTCCTCGACCAAAGGGTGTAGTGGCTTAGGGGTTGAGGGCTTCGGGGTTTTAGGGGCTAAGGGTTAACAGAGTTGCAGGGTTTAGGGCTCCTACGAAACTAAGCGCTTGATTATTATTCTGTGCTTCCCCTCAAAAACTACACGTACCCTAAAAGGGTGTCAGAGTTCATGTGCCATAGTCACATAGGGCTTCGTAACGGAAGGGTAGGGTAGACCCTAAGCCCTGAACCCTAAACCCTATCCCTAAACCCTGTACCCTAAACACCCCCTAGACCCTAAACCCTACACCCTAGACCCTAGACCCTAAACCCCAACTCTCAACCCTAAACACCCCCTAGACCCCAAACCCTAGGGTCTTTTGGTGCTTGAGGGCGGCATGTGGATTGGGTCCTGTGGTTCAAGACTCACACAAAGGATCCTGACCGTAGGGTAGGCGAGGAAAAGGAAGCCCCACCGGCCACGATGATGCGCATGATGCTTGCGTACAGCGCACGTGCTCTACAGGGAAAGGAGCGTTCGCGTCCTTTTCGGCTTGGATGGCTGCGTTTCTTGTGGAATTCCACGCAAACCCTGTGCAGCGGCTTGAAAAGCTTGAAACGCATTGCCCGAAGCCGCCCGATGCTGTCCGAAGCCACCCGATGCTGCCCGATGCTGCCCGAAGACCGAGGCTGCCCGAAGGCAATTCTGTGTTGCGCCAGGTGTTTCAGGAATCAGGGTTCCAGAGCCCTCCGAAACAAAAAAAAAACGCTGCTCCTAACGCGCGGGGCCTTTCTCTGCCGTGACAGATCCTGTGCGGCCATTGCAGGGCAGATGTCTCTTGCTTTGGAGGTTTTTCAGCGTAGAGTTGGGACCTTGCCTGAACCAATGTGGCTTGGTTCATTGTTACAACCGATGCACACGAAATTTGCGCCATCGGACGCATCGCCACCATAGGTGTGACTACCACCGAGATCACTGAGTGGTTCTTACATGAACATGGTTGTGGCCACAGAAAGACATGAAGGGCTGTTTCAATTCAACCCTGTGTTGTCGATGGTCGTGGATGTTTTTGCCAAGTTTTGAGACAACAGGGAATGCCACACAAAAAAGAGCGACCCGCATGCCGTCATAGTTTATTATGGGCTTTCAGAGTCAGAATAAGATCATAAGCTACAGATTGGAAGTTGAACATATCATCATCCTGCGACTGCGTGTCTCGAAGGGTCAGTCGGCAACTTGGCAAGCAGTTATCACATAGTCACATAAACCAACCCTATCAGGTAGGCTCAGGTCACGGGGTGAACCCGAGCGTGTCGGAATCTACCCTGCTGGGGCTGGCCGCGGATACTGCGGTATTACTAAACTAAACCTCCTGGCCCCTGATTTCAAGAAGCCACGGATGCTCCGAAACCGCGAATCCGAGGGTTTAGGGTTTACCTAAACCCCCAAAAGTTGGTAAAATAATGGCCCACAACCCACAAAAAGGTTATTATTCTACATACTTTTGGGGTCTAGGTAGGGTGTAAAGCGCAGGGTTTAGGGTTCGTGCAAGAACACTTTGATTCATGAGGTGAGTTTCAGAGATGTCACACTGAAGTCCGGATGCGAAACAGTCAACGCCTCCAGAAGGAGCAATCCACGGCAATTCCGAAATACTGGTGGCGAGAACCCACAGCGGCATGCTGATTTACACGAAAAACCGGAAAGCGAGATACCTGACAACGGTTGAAGATCCGCTCTACCCGCACCTGCTGCGCACTCCGCTGTTGCGCGATCACGGCCATGTTGTCAAAGGCACAGGCTGTGGCAATTTTCAGAAGCCTCCGTTCGCAGTCTTCGGGGCGATATGCGCAGCTAGCAAAACTCATGATGTGGGATTTCGGGCTGATATAGCAGCCTCAATGCCAATACTGTTCCTTAGGGTTATTAGAATTAGACTATCAAGGAGCCCAAAACCGCATTCGAATTATCAAGTAAGGCCCCTACATTACAGTACAGCCTGCGCTTCAAGCTCTGCCTCGGTCACGATGTTGGTTCCAATCTCTGCATCAGAGCTTGCAAAACTCTGAATGAAACAACCGCGAAACTTCAATAGGTTAGGGTTTATGGTTGAGGGTTTAGTCGTCCCGCATTGCTGCATTTACGAGGCCCACAGGCAGTGGCAGAGAGGCTAGGAGGTTCGATGAGACTCGAAACCCCCTCCAACCCTAAACCCTAAACCCTATATAAACTCTAAACCCGAGATTTGAAAATCTCAAGTGCTCCCTAACAACGCTCAGAGACGACGATGAAACCCCGAAGACCCTTTACAGTGCATGTGTGCCAGCGTCAGTTCAGGCTCGGGGATTCGGGCCCATGGGGCTGATAGGGGTTAATGTAGGGGCCTTATTAATTAGAATAGGCTTTTGGGGTATACTACGGTATACTATACTATAGTTGTAATAAGGAACCCTGAACCCCCCAAAAAAAATAGTACAGGTAAGTATTTATGCTTCTATATTTGGCTTTGGCTTTGGCTTAGGGATTCACGGGTTGGGGAATCTTCGGGCTGAAGGCCCGTTTTGTTGTTTGCAAAGGTCCCCAATAGAAGTTGACGGGAAGTGAGATCTAAGTATAGCAAAACCCGGATGTCACATCTCACATCAGTACCCCCACAAATTTAACATAGGAGCGGCAAGGAGCAGAAACAAACAAAGGGTTTTGATGTATTTAGGTTGTAACATCAAGATATGACCTCATGAACCTCAAGGACCACCCTAAACCCTAAACCTTAAACCCTAAACCCCAAACCCTAAACCCTAAACCCTAAACCCTAATACTAAGAGCCCCCCCCCAGATTGCTGGAGGCTCGGAAGAGCAGCCTGCGATGAAAGGCATCATGATGCTCGGCCCGCAGATCCCTCGCCAACGGCTGTAGGCTTCTTACTGTAAGCATTACTTCTTGGAGGATTCTATATATGGGTTCCTTTGTGGGTTAGGAGATGATTGGGCAGAGTGTACAGCAATTAAGTCGCTTTGAATTTCAGATGTTGCAAGAAAGTTAAGCTGGTTGAAAAAACCATTTCGTACAATTTCTGAGGATGGAGTGAGTTTTGGGTAGTACACAACCTATGTACAGGGAGCGATTAGCGAACGACCGCGCTAGCAGGCTCGGACCTGGACTAATGGGGCACCAACGGACCAACCTGCTTGTAAGCCTCCTACAGCATTCGTCAATAGGTCATTAAAGTTCAGCCTTTGCACATGGGATCGCGAGGTTTCCATCTCATACATAACCAGCACGAAGCCGTACGCCACGAGATAATAGAGGAGCCTTAATAATTAGATAGGGTTTTGGGACCCATTATGCTGTACTTATAATAGGGTTTTGGGACCCATTATACTGTACTTATAATAAGGAGCCCCCAAAATAGTATTGGCAATTATTTAGGCCCCTACATTACACAACTTCGAGTCGGGTCCACGGGCCCTGAGCCCATAGGCCGCCCTGGGATCCACTCCTTTGAAGCTTTTAAAAGTTTTAATATAAAAGTCCAAATAGTCACCAAGACTTTTTTTGGGGGGGAGGTTCATTATGATGATAGAATACTGGACCCCAAAACCAAATTCGAAAAAAAAACAAGACCCCCTAAAACCTAAACCCTTAAAGTAGCCCTTGTAGAACCCTTTAGAGGAACCCCCCAAAACCCTATTCTAATTCTTAAGGCCCCAAACCGTTAAACCCTATTATGCCGAGAGGCTCAAGTTGGGCAGTAGAAGGGCTGAGGCGCAAGCTGCGCCCTCGGCTTCAAGTCGCTGGCTCTAGAGGTTTAGGGCTTAGGGTTTAGGGTTTAGGGGTTTAGGGTTTAGGGGTTTAGGGTTTAGGGTTTAGGGATTTAGGGATTTAGGGGTTTAGGGTTTAGGGGCTTAACCTGTGCCCCATGGCTTATGGGCCTCCCATAAGTCGGGGCAAGGGCTTAGGGTTTAGGGTCGAGTGATTGTGGGAGTACCGCGATTCGCATAAACTAGCTGTGGGATGGGAGTTTTGCGACGGCTGTTCTCGCCAGCCTTGCGATGATATCTTTATTGATCGCAGACGAACAACAATATGAGTTGAACCAGTGGCAAAAAACACAAGCCAGGTTGATAGCCGTCGTCCTTCGTGCAAACCATGATTTATAGCCAGAGCTGTCATGGCTGCATCTGGGATCAGCCCGCGACCTGTCAAGTGATCCACTTGAACACCCAAGAAGAGTTCCGCCGTCAGCCTGCCACCGACGATTCAGCGCTTGCGGCTTAGGCTTGCAAGTAGCTTCCTGCATTATTTCGAGCTCTCAGGGCATGTGCTTTGCTGGGGTTTTCATTGTTGAGCTGCGCATCTTGCGTGCCACCGCTGGCTTCACAGTATCCGAGGCCCCATGTCGCCAGACCCATTCTATCTTATACAGCCGCGTGTCAGGGTTCCAAAATTGCATCAATCTCCCAAGGAGCCCAGGGCTCCAGCGGGGTGCAGAGAGGGAGGGGGAAAGCAGCGGGGCACGTGAACATTAGTAACAGTGGTGACCTCGATGCGTCAGGGCTGGGGGACATGGCGAACTCTGATCATATCTGGCTGTTGCTTAACGATAGGACTCTGGATCCTGTAACATTACAAAGAAGTAAGCGTGCAAGTGAATTGCAAAGAACAGCCCAGCCCTCCTCATGAGACGAAATACGCTCGCGGAACAGCCGAAGCTTGTATGAGAAGATATCTTGACAATCGAACCACCGAACCACCGAATATGCTGCTCAGAAAACGAGTTGCAATTCACGTTGACCAATATCCATTGCAACCAGAGAGCGTAGTTTTGTCATGATGGTCCTGCTTGTGGTGCTGCTGATGATCGTGCTCGAGATCGTGGTTGTGGGCTTCGTGGAACGCCGAAACCCAAATCTTTGCACAGAAACTTGAGGAAGCAACCCTTTGGCCTCTGCAGCGCTCGATGACTCGCTTCGAACGCTTCCTTGAGGTCTTCACGTCGGCGCTGAGACGCATCGGCATCTGACGCAGGAGATCTTTGTGCGATTTCGGATTCAAGCTGTAGCTAGCACCTGCTGTTGGGCTGTTACAAAGCCTTAAAATGCGGCTCCTCGTCGATTGCGTTTAAGCTCAAGGGCCCTAGCCTTCGCCTTAAGCATCATCTGTGAGGGACGTTGGCTACGGCGGATCCGTGACGAGCTTGCATAGATGGTAAGGCTTCTTGCCAAAAGAGGTTGCTGCACACAGACTGCAGCAAGCGTATACGAGTTTCCCCAAAATAGCGGCTCCCAGCCCTATCCGGACAGAGGAAGCTAAGTCTAGAATGGGATAAGAAGACACCTTCGCTTGGGAAACTCTCACATGGTGCAAGGGGCGGCTTGCAGCAACCGTAGCATTTGCCTGTTGCGCTTGCCGGAAACTCCATTAGTTTGGAGCAGCCGCAGGTTCTATAGTGTGCTCCGAAATGGAGATGTCTGGTATTAAACAAGTGAGGTGAAGAGCCTCTCTGTGTGGGGTGCAAGGTACCCTCCCTGCTGTATTGGTGATTTATCCACCACTGTACAAAACAAGTCTGTCATAAAAGCGTGCAAGTGAGGTGCAGGCTGCAATGCTGCGGCAGAATCTCAGAAGTCTAAACAGTGTGCCATAGCGCAGCCGTCTTGCAAAAGGCATCTCAAATGGTCATGGATAGCACAAAATCTCAAGCTCATGTTGTCCGATGTGCCCAACCTGAATATCCTGTTCTTCTTTCGCCGGCTTGGATCCGCTGCGTCGTTTCAGTGGCACCATCACCTCAAACTTGGGAGAAGCCTCTGGCTTGTAAGGCAGCTTGCAGGAGAAGCAACCCATGGCAGGCAACTGGCTTCGTCTGGGGCGGGGCTGACACTGCTTTGGCCTGAGATGCAACTCCGGGACCAAGGGCACTGGGAATGCGGCGTCCGGTGCCTGCTGTCCGGTACGCATGTCGCTGATTGATACTGTAACTATAATGGTCATGTCCCCATGACCCTTCTCATGCCACGCTTCTACTCTGTTACAGGTCTATCTTACCATATTATGTAACCACGGTGTATCGTTTATAAAACTACTGTTCTCGTGGTGGGATGCAGGATCAATGAGACTGTCCCGCAAGCAACTCCGATTCTCCCTAAGGGCCCATGTATCCAAATAGTATATACTTTGGCCGCAAAGTACAGTAGAAGCCAGAAAGTCGGAACATCATTATCCTCGTGCCCTTAAGCCTTAAGGTAAAGTAGAATGGATTCTAGCACTCATCCTCCTAAACCCATCTCCAACTTTCTGGCTTCTACTCTCCTTATATTAGGTACTACTTGGGCCCAAGGTATCTACTATTTGCGTTACACGAACCCTTAGCGCCGGAAGCCCCAAGCCTAAGCTCTTAACGGCTTCAGGCTTAGGGTTTGTTTCAGCGCGCCAGGCTCGAGGGTTGACGAGTCTAGTGCCTTTCAACCAGGGAGTAGACCTGGAGGGTTTAGGGTTTTGGGTTTAGGGTTTAGGGTTTAGAGTTTAGAGTTTAGGGTTTAGGGTTTAGGGGTTCAGGCGTTGCCTTCTTTGAAGATTCAGACGATTTCCCTTCTGACCGACATGAAAAGCACACGCTGCTCCTGACTGTTGCCGTGACAGTGGCTGACACCTACTGTCGTGGGATAACAACTGGTATTGTTCCTGTAATTAGTATCATGAAGGTAGTTGTCAAAATTATGGTCCCTTTTGGGGTACCCTAAATAACAGGTACCGTATTATAATAAGGACCCCAACAGGGGACCATAATTTTGACAACCACCCATGACTATGATGATGCCAGAAACATTTCCAGCCTTCCCGAGCATTCTCTGAAGCTCGGCCTCATTGCATGGGAATAGTCTCGCATGCCCCGTCACGACTACAACCTGAATCATGAGATGAAGTGCCTACAAACTCCAAGAATGATGTTCGTGAACTTCCTGGTTTAAAACCGATCTCAACCACCTGATGCTCAGGCTCAGCGGAGGGTTCTTCAAACTTAGTTGCGTGTGGGGGGTCGTCGGTATCAGGGCCTAGCCGGAACTAGCCTGACCAGCAAGTCGCACCTTACCATCAAAGCTGACAGTATCAACCTGTTTCTGCCGAGGCGTTCGGAATATTTCTGAATGAGGGGCTCGTTTTCAGAGATGGCCGTAACCTCAACACCACCGGCCAAGCACAAACCAGTCGCCTAAGGCAACATCGAAGTCGCGAAGAAAGGATCTCGGTGTGCTCTAATCCAGATCAGCTTAGTCAAGAACACTGACCAAAACCTGAGGCTCTGCAACGCAACTCAGAAAACCTACCAACAAAAAGGGTCCTTCTCGGCAAAAGCGACCATGTGTGCAGGACGTGTGCTCCCTCTCTGGAAGAAACCACAAACACAGTCTGGAGCATTGGGTTCAGGGTTTAGGGGCTTCTCGACCCCAAGCCCCTTGATCTGCCACAATATGCGGGGGCCTTAATAATTAGAAAAGGGTTTTGGGGTATATTATGCTATAGTAATAATAAGGAACCTCCAAAATAGTATAGGTAATTACTGAGGCAACTATGTTAATAAAACGTCCACCTCAGTTTTTTCATCTGCAGAACGAGATCGATACGCCTCGCACTAAGCCCGGGACTGCCGCGCCGTGGAAGTGCCTGTTGTAGTTGTGCGGAACAATAATACCACTAGTATACTCGTCAGCACATACAGGAGCAGGGTAGAGGTGGTAGTAGTAGCAGTAGTCGCAGCAACAGGAACAAAAGTAGCAGTCGCAGGAGCCGTAGCCATAGCTGTAGTCGCAGCAGTAACAGTAGCAGTAGCAGTAGCAGCTGCAGTTGCGCTTGCAGGAGCAGGAGCAGGAGCAAGAGCAGGAGAAAGAGAGCAATGGCAGCAATAGTAGCAGCAGTAGTAGTAGTAGTCGTCGTAGTCGTAGTCACCGTAGTCATTGTAGTCGGAGTCGTGGTCGTCCTAGTGATAGTAGCTGTTGCAGTAGCAGCAGTGGCAGTGGCAGTGGCAATAGCAGTGGCAATGGCAGTAGTAGTAGTAGTAGTACTAGTAGTAGTAGTAGTAGTAGTAGTCGTTGTCGTAGACGTGGTAGTATCAAGATCTTGAAGTAGTAGTCGTAGTAGTAGCAGCAGCAGCAGCAGTAGACGTAGTAGTCGTAGTTCCAGTCACGGCAGCAGCAACAGGAGTAGCAGCAGTAGTCGTCGTAGTAGTGATAGTTGTAGCAGCAGTAGTAGTAGAAGTAGAGATAGAAGAACAAGTAGTCGAAGTAGAAGTGAAGCAGCTTTCCCAATATCGGCAGTAGTAGCAGTAGCAGTAGCAGTAGCAGTAGCAGCAGCAGCAGTAGCAGTAGCAGTAGCAGTAGCAGTAGCAGTAGCAGTAGCAGTAGCAGTAGCAGTAGCAGTAGGAGTAGTAGTAGTGGTAGTAGTAGTAGTAGTAGTAGTAGCAGTAGTAGTAGTAGTATCAGTAGAAGTAGTAGTAGTAGTAGTAGTAGTAGTAGTAGTAGTAGTAGTATAGTAGTAGTTTAGTAGTA